ACTGTGTTGTCCAAAGAGGCCGACGCGACCAGCTGGCCGTCGGGCGAGAAGGCGACGGCGTTGACGCAGTTGGTATGGCCCTCGAGCACGCTGCGGCAAGCATCCCAGTCGTATTCCCTCTTTGAGAGTACCTTAACCCACTCTGACATTTCGTCTATGAAAGCTTTCTGTATTATACTCGCCTCAGGGGCAAAGATAAGAGCTGAGGAATATATTTGTAGAGGAGCATGTTGGGATATATGTTGGAATTGAAGCGTGAATCGTTGAGCGTCTTGGAGGAACTGAGAGAGAGCACTATTCGATGACTATATCGCGTGTTAGTAATACAGTATAGCATAGTAATAAAACCCCTACATTAACCAGCGTACAAAGTATTTCTAGTAAGTAAGCACATTGATTTGTATCCCCGACTAGACTCATTGCTTCAAGCCAGTGAAGGAAGTGTTTCCGGACAAACGTATCTGTAGAGTCCTGGTTGTTAATATGGCGCTGACTCTGCTTTAGGTGATACACCCAGTAATGGCAAGCGTACTGCAATTCAGGCGACAGATGGCTTGTAATCCTTCCTTCATCAACCTCGCTTCTTAAAGTCCCAGGCTGTAAGTCGCATATGTTCTGTCGTAGGCCGTTTGTACTAGACATGAGTTGAAGGCAATAAGACGCTAACCTCTCGTGTCTTGCTCTTTCATCCACCCAGAACGGGCTCTGTCCCTGTTTTCGAGGGTCAACAAGGAACTCGCGAAAGGACAAATGCAGCAGCCTAATAGGAGCATCTTTGCTCTCAGGAACACTAAGAACTGAGTGCAAGCCTTTTAGCTGATGTTGCACTTTCGTCTGTCGTACTTGAAGAAGGTGTGCGAGAGATCTAATAGAGAGAGGGCTCTCTAAGATGACTATGCTCCCTACGACTTCACAAAACACCCGAAGCCATGGTTCTTTGTCCCATTCCTCTTTCCCCACAAGCAATTGGTTTAATACTAGAGTATATAGTTGATCGAGTGGTGAAAAGACGAACTTTGGATGTTGTAAGACATTAATTAAGTACTCTTCAGGATCACTTGAGTCTGCGCCTACATATCGACATACAGTAGCAGCGTAGATAAATAGCGGAACAGCTAGCTCCACTAAACCTTGAATCTGGTGTGGCGCTGGCCAGTCTGTAGACAGCATGTGCTTCTTTCGTATTGTATCGAGCTCATGCACCAGGAAGAGGCGTATGTCGCGTTCAATCGTGCGCCTTGGTACTTCGTGGAGTACTAGGTCTTGGTATGTGCCGTTTGGCATCTCCCTGAAACCAAGGCGAATGTGGAGCTCTGGCCGGCTAGTCACCACGATCCGTAAAGGCACCGGATGGATGTCTTTCGTCCGAGCAAGCAGCTGAAGGATCGCTAGAGTGTCTGCTTCTCGCTCACATTCATCCAGCGCATCTATCACGACAACACGAGCCAAGACTGGCGACTGAGTCTGCTTTATTTCTAAGAGTGGCTGTAGGATCAGCTTCTCGAACTGGACTTTTAGAGTCTTATCCGCAATTTTCGGGTCCTCGTCGAGCACCTTCCTTATCCCGGGTACCACGCCTGGCTCGTAGGCTAATAGGTCGGTAGCGATTGTGGTGAAGAAGCGTGAGGCGTTGGCGCGCTCGCCTTCACCTTTCTTAAAGAAGAAGCTCGCTCCTAGTTGTTTGCGGTCGGCGAACAACTGAGCAACCGTCCGCGCTATTGTAGACTTCCCTGTCCCAGCCATGCCGCTCAGCCAGAATATAGATTTGCCATCCTTGTTGTTCGCCCATATTGTGATCTCGTCTAGCAGCTCGATGCGGGTGTTTGGTAGGCATTGTGTGTTCTTGTCTTTCGTGTAGGAGTTGTAGGATGCTCCATTAGCGGTAGGTAGCTTGGTTAAGTCCAGCTTTTGATTCACCTGATCTAGCTTCTTGTCAGAGTCGTGGATTAGACCCCTAGGAGAAATGGTTAGCTACCTTCGCGGTAGAATGAAGTGAAAGGAACCCACATCTGATCAACTTGAAGCGCAAGGCTAAAAGTGTGCCCATACTTCTCAAGATTCTGAACCGTCTTCTCCACCTCCTTGCTCGTCAATGGCCATCTCAAGGCTCGGAAGCCGAATTGACGCAGCGCTTTTCGGCGTCCGCTGGGCTCGAGTTTGGCTTGCAGGGTAGCCTCGAGTTCCGTCAGCTCCTGAAAACATCTTTGAAGCGAGCCTGGTAAGGAGGCAGTAGGCGACTGCTTGGCTTGCGCTAAGGTACGTGTTGTGGAGAGCTGCGACTCATCCTGCTGGTCTAAAAGCTGTCGAAGCTTCTCAAGAACATTCTTGATATCCGTCACCTTTTGTTGGAGGCGTCCGATGTCCCTCTTTGCGTCCTTGACACCGACTGAGTACTGGAAGCAGATCGACGCGACTTTGGCGGATATGTCGACGACGGCTATCACGCTTGCCGCCCCGGAAAGGCCATCCATGATGCGGCGCGCGGTCGGGGCTGCAGTGGACGTTGTGATTTTGTAGATGCTTCTGCGTAAGTTCGCAAGGCGGCGAGACCGTTCCGTGGGGGTCAGAGATGTCGTCGTTCATCTTGAGTGCGGCGAGGCTGAGAAGGCTGCTGCGGCTGAAGGCTGCAGCATTGAGGTGGGCTATTTTAGGGCTAGCCGCGTTATCGATAAGGCTTGCTACAAGCTTCATGCAGCCACGTATTATCTAAGTTAAAATACAGCGTATTGGTGTGCGAAGTCATCTCGGATCTGTGATCGCCCTGATTGGAGGGCTTAGATTGGAGGTACCGACAGGGATAGGGACTCCGCATAGATTTGCGCGCGAACATCGACACACAGCTAATAACAATCTGTAAGCAACTTCGTGTGAATCTTTGGCTTAGATAACACCTCTTATACGTATTATGGAGAAGATGGAGCTTAGTGGTAGCGATATAGTAAAGGGACAATGTTTCGCTACAAAAGAAGGCTCTGGGCGAATTAGACCAGAAGGCGACAGCGTAAAGGTATTTTGAAGAATTCAAGGGCTCCTAATGTTGACAAATAGCTGCATGATATAATTTATATATAATTCTTATGAAACTCGATATGTGTGAGAATTATAATTTTGTGAAGTCAAAGTACCCCTCTACATTTTTGGTACGGGTGGTTTGCGCGGTGGGGTTCCCCCAAGTGTAGGACAGAGCGTCAAATGCCGGGGCTGTATTCAATGGTGTCGCCGTGATCGAAACTGAGATCTCATCCGAGTTCAGCCATTTACTGTGATATATCTCGACTAGACGAATATGTTTATGACCCGGGAGTTGGGTGTAAGAATATGGGCTAAGCGTATTCGGCGACATCCTTTTCTCTCGAAAGCTAAAAATCGCCATGTTAGTGGAAGTCCGAGATCTGAATATAAAACTACGGACCCCATAGATTCTTACCGGTTCTTGTGGTGGGGAAGCTGGAAGCTCAGCTGGTGAAGTGTTCAGCTGCCGAAAAGGCGCGTTGGATTGGCCAAGTCTGTTATCACCGGCAGGCTACCTAAGGCTGGATTCTGCAGTTGGAAACATCTCATTTAGCCTGAGACCAAATTAAAGCAAAAGATTGATGAATATTATCTTAAAACTGTTGAATTCGTACAGCGTTCGTGAAAGATCAGAGGGTGCAAACAAAGGCACCATAGTCCCGGGTGCAACCTTCTCCCACTCATTCTTAAGCGCCAGCCTGAGCAATGCCCCGGCATGGGAATCCTGGCATTTAGGTCTCAAAAATTACGAACAGTTTTCTCAATCTTCTCAGAATCAGCATCAGCAAGTTGATACCCACCAATAACTGCGTACAGCGGAACCCCCAGGACGAGCTCAGTTGCGTGGACGGAAGCGTTGATAACACCGGCGTGACTTCAGCCCGTGAGGAGAACGAGGCCTTTGTCTAGATGTATGTGTGAGCTAGAGTGGAAATTGAAAAGGGTGGACTGCAAGGATTTTTAAGATTCACCATCACGAATCGCTCCTCCATGATATCTTCATCTTTGAGCCACTTGCCGATAATAGGGTCGAGCCGAATGCCCCCGGGAATACCATTTTCGTAATGTGTGACACGTGGGATTTCCCCTGAAATGAAGAGCGTATTGTTCATAACCATGTGTGCGTCGCAGCTTTTATTGAGAATTCCACCCGCGAGCTCGATCTCGTCGGAAGAAGGATCAGGTTCTAAAATTATCGGGAACCCTGCATCATTTCCGCGGAAATCGGGTCGGTTGGGATGAACATCAATAATGGCTTTCTCACGCGATGGATTGGCGTTGTTGATCATACGGATTGCTTTGAAGAGGCCTCCTGAGTCTGGGTTTAGCGTTTTAAAAATTGAGAAGGGTATAGGTGCATTGCAGTAGGGCACACCCGAATGATCACGATGATAGTGTGAGAGGTGAATGTGCTCGACGGCCCCAAGATCAGTGAGTAGTCGTTTCACATTCTTCTCGAACACTCCCGCTTCTATCCTTGCGTCGAATAGTAAAACGTTTTTTGCATCACCACTCGGTACGGTCTGGTTGTAACTAAGCATCTCATTTCAGGAGTGTTATACTAGAACTCACGATCATGAGGAATAATCCATGTGCACCGCAGCAGATGCTGTCCATTCGCATTTGCTTTGTAGCACCACCATGGACCTTCGGATTTTGCAACGAGGTTAATGGGATGCCCATAAACGAGCCCGTGGTTTCGACCGTGGGGTTGGGGGAGTGGGAGATGATGTCGAGCTCGTCGTTCACGATGACTACGATTTCGAGGCTATCGACTTCCGTAAGGTTGTGAGAACCTACAGTTGACAAAGGATTTCCTTTCGTGGGAGAAGATTGGGGTGAATCCTATGGCCGATGGTGTAGGTAGAATCCGGACATTGGAGGAAACTCAGAAGTGATTTATATCTGGTGTGAAGGACTCTTTCATATATCATCCTTGCACACCCAATCTGATCGAATCCAGATTGGAAAGAGGCTAGATCTCATTCTCCATTGTAATGATTAATCGCTGAAGAATGTCGCCAGCTCTCGGTAATTATGTAGATGTGAGCATCGTACGATACTTTCGAGACTGAGCCCTTTTCCCGTGTTGATCTATAACGGGCAAAGTTGATTGCATGGTTGAAAGGGACGATTGATTAGAAAGGAGTAAGCAAATATCGAGCCATGTAGTTCGGTGATGCGATAATTCATGATCGGAGAAGGATACAGACGGTCGAGGCTTTGGTGTTGGCAATACGCTGCCAAGGCTTACAGACCAGTTCTCGGCAGCAGGTCAAATCCAAGGATGTCTTCTGTTTTGCAACATGAGCCTTTCTTGTTGAAGAGTGACTCTTGTTTTCATTTTCGTTAGCAAGTTGTGTGAAAGTTCCTTCCTTGACTCGCAACTTGAATATGGGGGACCATGGGCAGGACAAATGTGGAGCTTTTGGGAGCACAGAGATGAGGAACTGAATTGATTGCTAAAGGAGTGTACCTAAGGGTCTATATATATGCAAGAAAAGGGGTAAGTATTGGCATCATATGACTATCGTGTGAGCCATGCGTGACTACTGCAAACAACAAAGGTTAATTGGTGCCTTACGGCTCGGCGAAGTGAACTCCGTTTATAACTTTCAAATCGTTTGCAAGTCCGGGAAGGGAGATTATGATGGGTTGAGGATTTGACAATTCTATTCCTCCAGAAACTGGTCTGGGTGGATATCCAAGGCTGCCAAGAGGGTATGTTAGACGCTCGACATCCTCTTTTCTAGGCTTTAACACTAGCTAGAAGTACAGGGGCGCGGCACCTAGCCATCCTTCCTCTAATAATGCTAGTCCTTATCTTCGATACCTTGGTTACGAGTATTCTCCTGGATGAGAGAGGTGTGGATTGGCAATGCACAAGGCAGGTTTCTGGCAATAAAGCACTCGGAAGGCTCCATAAGGCAGGTGATCAGCCCTTTGCAAGGCGGAGAGGGCTTGGCGGATGGAAGAGTCGATCTTGAGCTGGTACGTTAACCTAATCCAATTCCTTCGCAATGCACACTCGCTATAGTCCACAAGCTATTATGATGCAGAGAAGCTTCCCAGGGGCCTCCCTTGCTGCCCTATCCATCCCAGCCATGGTTTTCAACCATCCTCCCTGTTCTTGAAGAGTATGAAGAGTTGTGAGAGCAATCATGATGCCTCAGACGCCACCTCCGTCATGACTTCATCATTCGCTTGTCGATAAGCTAAGAAAACGACCAATGCTGGCGTTGTTTTAAATTTGCGGATGAGAAAAGTGGGTGTTGCAGGGAAGGATTGAAGAGTACTACTTGGATGTGGAGAGTAATGTGGTTGCCCCTGCTCTGTCGAGAGAGGTACACGGGTTGCTAGGCAACGCTAGGCCTACCCTGGAATAAACAATGAAGTAAAGTCCATTCTTGAGCCTCATCGCCACGACTACCACGCATTAAAAGCGCTCCCAGACTCTATCGTAAATTATATACACCACATCAACTCTCACTCACTCTTCTGTAATTCCACGATCCAAGGACATAGCGCTAAAACAATGGCTACGAACATGCTTGCCAGTCGCGACACCAACGCTCAGCCGAAGTCGACGCCGTCGCCAGAGAAGCAGAAGCCGAGGAGCATGGAGTATCACCGGCAGGTTCTGGAGTCGCGTCTGAAGAGCGGGCAGTGAGTGTCACTCACGCAAATGTGAAAAGTGCGAGTTCTGACAACATGCAAAGGAACCAGCAGAACTACATCTCTCCGTCTGACGAGATCATGTCTCCGGCGACCCAGAAGCTCAATGCATTCCGCAACAAGCACGTCATGAAGAAGTATTGCGCCCAAATTGTCGACGACGAGTGAAACTACTAACAGAGAGCTTAGGTCGAAGCCGCAGACGCTCTTCAAGAAGACTAGCTCGAAGAACTTCGAGGCTGCATCCGCAATGGGCACAGCCATGTTTGCTGATATTCCGAAAGAAGACCCGAAAGATAAGGGCAAGACGGAGGGTTCTTAGCCTTGGTTGGGTTTCTTAGTCGCTTTCATCTCTTCGTCAATACCCGGATCCAGACCGAAGGAGTCTCTCGATACGACTCTTGGATCCAGCAGTCCTGCTATGATTTGGGGTTAGTTTGCATCGGATGGGCGAAGTAATTGGGCTGCTTTGGAGTTTGGGCTATGATAACAACTCGACCACTGTAACAATACTTAAATGAACCCATTAGCGAGCGAAATGCCAGTATGATGAACACTTAACCTTCAGTGCCCAAGTGATGATGAATCGTAGGAGAGCTACTCGGCACGGCTTCGACCAAAATACACGCCAAGCGCCCCACCTGTTCACCCAAGCTCATGCTTTTCCACCGCAACTAATGATTACCACCAACGGCGACCAAAAATCTCTGGAAGATGAGATATTCGATCTCGAGAGGCGTCTCCAAGATGCCAAAGCGCGACTGAACTACAGCAAATCGGTCGTAGCAAGCTCAACACCGGCGAACGATGCAGGTCAGCAGATTACCTTGACCAGCAGCCCTAGACTACTCTAACACGACTGCAGCCCTCCATGCCCTATTCCTCTTATCAGACTCAGCCCTCCCATTAGGGTCGTTTGCCTTTAGCAGTGGCCTAGAATCTTACCTCGCCCACCACAAGCCATCACCGCCCTCTGCCTCTCAGCTTTCGTCCTTCCACACTTTCCTGCGACTATCGCTCTGCACCCTTGCCTCCACTGCCTTGCCTTACGTTCTAGCTGGGTATCGGCACCCTGAAGACGTAGAGGCATTGGACAATGACTTCGATGCGAGCACACCGTGTACGGTCGCAAGGCGGGCAAGCGTAGCACAAGGACGAGCGCTGCTCACGGTTTGGGACCGGAGCTTCAAGGCACAGCATAGCAGCACGACGACTGCGGCTAGTATACATAATGGAACAGATAATCGACAGCAGACCGCAGTCGACGCCATAACGTCCTTTTCGACCACCCTTCGCACCTCAAGCCACCTTAATGTGCATCTTGCTCCACTCTGGGGTCTTGTCTCTAACATCCTGTCTGTCCCACTCAACGACGCTGCATACCTGTTCCTCTTTTCGCATGCGCGAACTGTTATCAGTGCCGCAGTTCGCGCCAGTGTCCTAGGGCCATATCAGGCACAAGCTGTGTTGGCTAGTACAGAGCTTAAATCGAGGATTAGAGGATTGGTGGAAGAGGGTTGGGATCGGAATATCGAAGATGCAGGACAGAGCGTTCCAGTCATGGACCTCTGGGTTGGAAGACATGAGAAGCTCTATAGTCGGATTTTCAACTCCTAATGGTCCATGTGTAGTAAAAGGCAAATGTGCCATATAGACATTAATTATTCGCTGGGTACAAGCCCCAACTTTTTTACAGACTTTGTATTTCTTTCACCAGACGCCTCGCAGCCGGTGCATCTCCTCGCGTCACTTGTAGACACCGATGGAGCTGTCTCTGATGCCAAGACGTAAATAGCTTAACTAGTGGTCAATAGCTGAAGCGCCGGCATTCTGCGCCTCCGAAACTCAGCCATTCACTTTCCACGCCAACCCCGCGTGCGTCCTTCACTCGCAACATCGACTCTGCCTGGTAGTCGCCAAGGCCCGTGATCTGCAGGATGCTCTACCAAAGATAAACAGCAGGACTCTACATACTTCTATCCTTAGTACTAACTCTTCTTTTGGAGCCTTTATTCCTCTAATGCGTTCCTGCACTGTTTGATAGCCGTCTGGGTATTCCTTTGTAGTCCATCCTGGTTCTACCATCTGTGCAAACATGCTCCTATCGCAACAACTCTTAGCAATACCTGCCTCTCTATTCTCTCTCGTTTCTACTGAACAGGTTCCGCTCAAGATTCCCGATGCTAAATATCCTTGGATCCGCAGGTACGCGTCAATAGGTGACTCGTACGCCGCAGGGCTAGGCTCAGGCAGCCGAATAGATTGGTCGTGCTCCAGATACAACAACTCTTACCCCAACATCCTCCACGCCTCTTTCCTGGGAGACGATCCAAAGCGAAACCACCAGTTCCTTGCCTGCACTGGAGCTGCAAGTACGGATGTCATCGAGAAACAAATCCCCGCTCTCCATGACAATCTCGACCTTCTCACCATCTCCGCGGGCGGAAATGATGTCGGGCTCACGGTGATACTGAACAACTGCATATACCAGTTCTTCATGGCTGGGGAAGACGACTGCGAACTCGCTATGGAAGAAGCGCGGCAAAATATTCACAATGAAACCCAACTCCATCGCAACGTCACCCTGCTCTACGAGGCTGTCAAGCCTAAGATGAACAAGCACGGGATCGTATATGTCACTGGATACGCAACTTTCTTCGGCATAGCCGATGAACTGTGTGATAGTGTGACTTGGGCTGTGTGGGATGGCGTTGAGTCTGGCCAAACGAAGCAATTTCTGACACTCGAACGCCGCATCTCGTTGAACAAGCTGGTGCAATCCGTCAACCTTGTACTACGCGAAGCCACAGAAGCCATGGGCCCTAATTTCCGGTTTATCGACTATGACAAGCACATCGCGGAGGGCCGAGGCAGATATTGTGAAGTCGGTGTTCAGGAACCTGCTCCAAACCGCTGGGGCTTGGATTTCTACGAATGGAACACGATCGACTCAGGCGAGAATAGCACGGAGATGGGACGAACGGGCGACGATGTTCCTAAAGGATCTTTCGAAGGGGACATTGCGGAGCGCATCAACAAGACGTTGCAAGAACATCCAGATTGGCAATTCGATCCCGACAAAGGCTTCGTTAACAAGTCAAAGACGATGGTTAGGGAGGAGGGGATCATTGGCGATACAATTAGCTGGATGTTACCGGATTCTTGGAAACGCGTCTTCCATTTGCGGCCACAGGCACATGCGCTTATTGCTGCGCTCATCTCGGAAGACTTACAGAAGAAGGAAGGGAAAGATACGGTTCATCCCAATTTCCTCGCTGCACTACCGTAGAGATTGCGACAGGATGGTCTGAGGGATGATGATGGTCTCCATGATGTACCGAAGGCCTTACCTAAGAAGTCGACTTTAGAAAGGCTTGAGGCGAAATTGAAGAGACTCCTTGACTAGGAATAGGAATGAGATAAGACGATTTGACGATTTCGGGCCTTTTGAGTAACGTTTGGGTTGATGATATAGCATCTGCTTACTGGGGTTTGCTTTCAGGCGTTGCTTTCTCGATTTAATCTTGCGTCGGTATACCAGCGGGGTGTTATGAAACCTTTGTCTCGTTTACATGCGATACCAACCATAATGATGAGATGTGTACAGCTGCCACCTCTGTCGCATTAAACATAAGCCCCCAAACACTATCCCTCCACCCCGCCTCCACTAACTCTCTCTCCCTCTGCAATAACACCCCCTCATTCCCTCATCCTACACAAACTTATACCAACTTGCCACACGCGCCGTTCAGTGAGTCGCAGAGATGGTAATTTAGCATGGATCTCGACGAGTTGGTGGCTGAAGTAGTGGTTAAAGTTATCAGTGACTTCAATATGGAGCGCACTACTGTGCATGTCGAGTGAAGACGTAGAGGATGAGCTGAGGATGGCGTGGGATGCACGAGCGGCACGCTCAGAGAGAGTGATAGTCCACTTGACGTACCGAGAGCCTCATGGGAGGTTGGGGGAGATGATGCATAGACATCACCCCGGGGTTGATGTGGACCGGCACCTTGCTATCAGTCCCCCGTAGTGCCGGGTGTTTGAGAGAAGGCGGACATTGCCACGACACATGAAGTCGTCATTGCGCTTAAATGGAGATATGCGCGGTAGCAGACACAGGCGTACTTCAATATCTCAGCTGTTCGATAATTTTGATGCCCATGGGCCGGTGAGTTGAGGAGGTTAGGAATGGGGTAGGTCGCATGTGAAGGGTAGGTACACAGCACTGGAGAGGCATCTAAGCACGAAGATATAGAAGCGTGCTATTGTCACTCACCTCTTCGTGCATCCTAACGACGCATATAAGGGTTAGTGGTGATGTGCTGAGGTTGCTACAAGCCATTGCGGGGATGGCCTCCTGGCAACGAATTACACAGGCTGCGTTAACACGCCTCTTTCCCGCCTCTGCAGCACCATCCGAAAAGAGTCACATCATTCCCGCAGGTCAGCTTCGTGTTTTGTGTGTTTCGGGGGCGGATGCCAATGCGTGAAGGAGTGTTGGAGTCGTCTGACCGAGGTCACGAGCACCCGTTCCGAAGCATGGACACTTGGTGGAGGGCCAACGTCCCTCTATTTACAATGATCCACCATTCCGTCTCCCACAGCCCTCCCCGGCTTCATCATCCTCTCCGGTCACACCGTCGAGGTCTCAAGTGAAACCCAGCACAGAAAACATGCCTCGACCCGCGCGCTACGACTTCCACACCAACCCCGTGGCTCATCCCAAGGCCATTGTGACGGGCGAGACGTACCGCTTCACCGTCCTCACCGATGGCCTGCTCCGATTCGAGTGGGCTGAAGACGGCCGGTTCGAAGACCGAGCTTCCACCTTCGCCATATGTCGTAAATTGACTGTTCCAGACTTTTACGTGTGGGACCGTGGCAACATCATCGAGATCGTCACGAAGCGCTTTCACGTATTTTATAACAAGAAGAGATTTAGCTCCGATGGCTTTTCTATACAATTGAAGGGTCCAGTGACGGCTAAGTGGACGTATGGTCAAAAGGTGTCTAATTTAGGGGGCACTACCCGCACATTGGACACGGTCGATGGAAGAACAAATGTGGACCCCGGGGTGCTTTCGCGCGAGGGTTTCGCGGTCCTTGATGACAGCAAGACTATGATGTTTGAGAGCGATGGCTGGATAGGACCTCGGAAGACCGGCAACCGGAGCGATGGGTACATTTTCCTTTACGGACACGACTACCGCGAGGCCATGAGGGCATACTATGCTGTGTCTGGAAGTCAGCCTCTGTTGCCTCGATATGCGCTTGGAAATTGGTGGAGCCGATATCACCCATTCACAAGGGAAGAGTACTTGGATCTTATGGACCATTTCGATAATGACGACGTTCCCATGAACGTTGGGGTTCTGGATATGGATTGGCATCGGGTGTGGGATCTTCCTCCTGGGTACGGCAATGGATGGACGGGCTACAGCTGGAACAGAAAATTCTTCCCGGATCCTCCCGCTTTTCTTGAAGAGCTCCATGATCGCAATCTCAAGATAACGCTCAATGTCCATCCTGCAGATGGCGTGCGAGGCTACGAAGATCAGTACGAGGAGGTCGCCAAGTACCTTGGTATTGACCCGAAGACCAAAAGAGCTGCCGAGTTTGACTGCACAAACAAGGATTTTATGGACGCATATTTTGACATCGTGCATCACGAGCATGAAGCAGAGGGTGTCGATTTCTGGTGGGTGGATTGGCAGCAGGGGAACAGCTCCAAGATTCCTGGTGTGGACCCTCTTTGGGTCCTTAATCATTTCCATTTCCTTGACATTGGCCGAGGGCGACAGAGACCTCTAATTCTTTCTCGTTTTGGAGGTCCAGGATCACAGCGATACCAAATTGGCTTCTCTGGCGACACCATCATGACCTGGGCGTCGTTAAGTTTCCAACCAGAGTTCACTGCAACTGCATCGAACATTGGGTATGGATGGTGGAGTCATGACATTGGTGGCCATATGCATGGCTTTAAGGATGATGAACTTACCGCGCGATGGGTGCAGCTGGGCTGCTGGTCGCCAATTCTTCGACTGCATTCTTCAAATAATATCTTCAACACCCGAGAACCATGGGCATTCAGGCCAGAAGCCTGCGGCGTCATGGAGGACACCCTCCGCCTACGGCATCGTCTCATCCCCTACCTTTATACCATGAATGCACGATCAGCATCTGATGACGAGCCTCTCATTCAACCGATGTACTGGGATTACCCAGAAGTCAGTGAGGCGTACAAGGTTCCGAACCAGTTCCGCTTCGGAAGCGAATTGATCGTGGCACCTATTACAAGTGCCCGTGATACTACCACGCATCTTGGTGCCACGAACGCTTGGCTTCCTCCTCTACGCTTCGTTGATATCTTCACTGGCGTTGTTTACGACGGAGACCGTGAGCTTCTGCTGCACCGACCCTTGAGTGGTTATCCTGTCCTTGCTGCAGAGGGTGCAATCATTCCACTAGATGCAGCATGGCGTCCTGCGAATGGCTCCCCTAACCCCACTGCTTTGGAGATTCTCCTCGTAGTCGGAGCAGACGGTTCCTTCAGCCTGATCGAAGATGATGGCTCGGGCACCCGCGTGGATGATGGCGACTTCCGCATGATTGAAGAAGGTGGTATTGAGTCTGGCTCCGACAACGTCCGTTTCAGCTACACTCCCATCACCTACAAGCAATCCACTGGTGTCCTCAAGATCGGCCCAACATCTCCTTCTGATCCCTCAATTCCAAAGAACCGTAACTGGAAAATCCGACTAGTTGCCCATTCACTGAAGAACAGGTCCGAGATCCGCTGCGTAGTGACATCGTCCAAGAAAGCGAAGCCAATTCCGTACACAACTACCTCGGTCAATAACGGCACGATCTTGTCGCTAGGCAGCGTTCCCTCCGATCATACTTGCATCGTCGAGCTAGGCTCTGGACCTCAGCTCGACGTGCTTGATCCGACGAAGAAGATTTGGCCGATCCTCTATGATTCATGTATGGATTATGACAGGAAAGACGGGATCTGGAATGTAATCAAGGCTGATCAGCCTCTGGGGACGAGAGTTGGGAGGCTACAGAATATGGGGATTAAGCAAGAGCTGTTGGATGCTATACTTGAGTTGATGTTGGCGGATTCGAGGTATGCGAGAGAATAGGGAGGGTGCTAGGGCCTGGGAATGATTGGCATATAAAGAGAGTTGGTGAATGTGGTGAACATAGATACGTCGTACTTGGGGCTTTTAGTTTATTTCCGGGATTATAGTCTGTAGCATTAGGGCTACAATGTTTGTTCAATGCATGATGTTGATGACACTCACTGCCGTTTTGCTCATTGTTTGGATATTCAGCATGCTTGTGTGTGCAGGATCATCTTAGATGGTTTACTTGCAGGATAGACCAAACAAAGCAGTCCGAAAATATACTAAGGCTCATTCAACTTAGGTACCGTCATGGCAATGGTGGGTAGTGCTAGGACATGTGTAAGTAGTGTTATTCCATGAGTAAGTAGGATCTGCATGTGGGTAACAAATACAAGGCATAATTTTACACTAACGTACACCACAGGCGAGTTGCTCACACACCTAAGTTGCTTACTTTTGCTAAGACTACACTAAACTACTTTTTATACACTAAAATATTCCTAATAACACTACTTAGATATGCTAAAACAATGTTAGATATAGCTTACACTTTAAGCTTTTAAATAAAATATAACACTTTTAAAGTAACATGCTATAGCTATGTATAATAAGTAACTAATATACTAAATAACTTTTATAAACTAATTATATAGCTAACTTATAAAAGCTAGATAATAATAAAAAGTAGGTAACTATTAAGCATATACTTAAGTTAAATACATAAGGATTTTTCTTTTAAATAGTATCTATTGTAACGGTACAGGTAAGATAATAGGTTCGAATGCGGTAGGAATCCACTCAGAGGCATATAGGAGTGCGTGGGGACTTAATGACCTGGGAATCCTATTAACACCTATAGGCCTTGTACAAAGAATATTAGAAAACTACTAAGCTAGCTACAGAAGAGAGGTGCAACTAAATACATAGCGGAATAGAGGTAATAGCAGGGGGTAGAGCAGAGTTAGAGCTAGGTTAAGTCAGGGTCAAGGCTAGGCTAAGTCAGGGTTAGAGCTAATATAGGGTCCCTTTAGATAGGTTCTAGGCAACCTAAGATAAAACAATTTATAAGAATTATTACACTACCCCCCCTCTATAGACTAATAGTCCTTATTAGTAATTATAGTAGAAAATATTAACGTACCTAACAGGTTGGCCGGCCACTTTTGCTAAGCCCCTACTAAACTCTACCTATCTACATAATGCCTTAACAACAACACTAGATTAAATCTTCTAAAGAACGTTAAATATAGCTTGCTCTTTAGGCTTTTAAATAAGACTTAAAACTCTTCTTATAACATGCTACAGCTATCTATAATGTCTTTTACACAACACTAAGCAATTAACGCGCTAGACAGCCTTTATAAGCAGAATGCTAGCCTAAATTAAGAAATCTAACTAAGCTTAAAAAAAAGGTAGTTATTAAGTACATACTTAAGCTTATTACACGCAGATTTCTCTTTAGGCTTATAGCTATAGCTAATATAGCTAATTCCTTGCCTGTAAAGCGTAATCTAGGCTAAGTTAGCTTAAACTAGCCTAGTATATAAGTTAAGCACTGCCTTAAGTTTATAATAAAGTTTAATTATAAGTATAATTATAAAAGAGCACTTTATAAGAATCTAAAGGTTATCTAGGGCTAGTTTTACCTAGTAGCTAATATAAAAGCTAAGTACAGTATCTAGAATAAAGATAGGTATAACTTTAATAAGTTAGGCTTTATAATAAGCTAGATATTAACTAGAGTAGTTATTACAGCTTTAGAGAGACAAAAATAGCTAAAAGTAATATAGTAAAGTAATAAAAAGTAGATAATAGTTATCTAGAGTATTAACATAATAAAGTAAGCTATAAGATTATAAAGCTTTAAGCAGTAAATAAGGCTGCTACATAACATAAATTACATAAAAAAAAGTAAATTTAAGTAAAAAAAACTTTAATAGTTAAGGATAGAGCTTATCTAACTACTCTAAAGGAGTTTAAAGCGCGTAGTAATAAGAAGAAGCTAAAGACATAAGTACACGCTAAAGAAGGTAAGCTAAGTTAAAAGTAATGTAAGCAGTGTAATTAGACTAGGCATAACTTACATACATATAAGTAAGTAGTAGAAGTAGACTTTAAATAATATCTTATGTTATATTACTTTATATAAGGCTAAAGTAGGCTGTTTTGCAAGAGAATAGGGTGGTTTTAGTAAAGGCTTAGCAAAAGTAGCTGGCTAACCTGTGTGGCTAGCCAACCTGTTAGGTACGTTACTATCTTTTCTTTTATCTTTAAACTAAATTAAGTTTAATTTAGTAAAGTGTTCTTACTTTAAAATATTTTTTTACACTACTAGTAGTATCCTCTAAACTAAACACCACGCATGTAGTTATTAATTATTAGAGTAGTAAAAGTAACTTATTACTTAAAAATAATTTAGATAAAATAATAATGTCTTTTTTATAAGTCCTTCTTTTTAAATTATACTGTAAGGATGTAAGGCTAGGATGGCGCTTACGTGTAAGGCCGAGATGGTGCTTACGTGCAACGGGTATATATACCTGTTGCACGTAAGCGCCATCTTGGCCTTACATTATCCCCCTTCTTAGCAGACGCATGTCCCAGGCGTCACATAACCTACCTGCAGCTCAGAGGCGCTATGCGCATGTCTTAGTTACCGGCTAAAGGCTGACCACCTGTGGCCTAGAGGCGCGGGATAAATAACAACGCTTAGTGGCCTACGCCAGCTAAGCCATATACACTAGACCTTCTAGCAGCTACAACGTTGCGCTAGAAGAGGCCGCCTTACGTTTTAGTCTAAAAACTAGCTAAGCTGTCTAAGGTGTAGGTTAAACACATAACTGTTCTTATTATTAGTTAATTATTATATAAAAACAGGGCTTTACACTACTCTGCTAATACAACTAAAAGGTATAAATAATTAACTAATGTTAATTTTTAGGTGCAGAATAGTATATATACCTGTCGCACGTAAGCGCCATCTCAGCCTTACATATACACTATAAGGTAGGCTACTAACGTACTTTAACGTGTTTTATCACTCATCCGCTAAAATCAGTCATCCGCCAGCCCCACCAAAATCAACGCGTCTCTATCAACTAACATGCCTCTACCACCACCACAACAGCTCTAATTAGGTTAAAAAGAGGGCAGACTAGCATTAGCTGCCTCTGTTCTTTAAACTTACAAAAATCTATCTGTTTATTGCGTCTTAGCGCTATACAACACGCCTTAATTAACGCTTTGCAGTTGCCTTACAGGCGCCCTCCTATAAGCTACAGCTAACGCAAGAAAATAAAAGCTATTACCTGTTAAAAAGTAGTCCCTTATACGCTAGATCTTAGACCTTAACTTGCGCAGTTTTCTACTACATATTATTAATGTGCAACAAATAGCAGACACTCTGCTTGCTGCTTACAGCCAGCAGCCTCCACCCCCGCGTGTAGGCAAATGCTAGGTAGCGTGCTTTATTAACAGCTAGCTAGAGCTTAAGACAAAGTAGGACAGAAAGCTGCACTTCTAGCGCGCTCTCTATTAGGATCTAGTTAAGTTTAGAGCCTAGTTTAAGCTTATAAAAGACACGTGTTAGAGGTATAGGATACTAGACAAGGATACTTATAACTTTAATAAGACAGAATTTATAATAGGAATTGCTAGCAGCATGTCTAAGGTTGTTACAAGCTCTAATAAAGTTAGTTAAGCAACTACTATCTAGCTAGGCAATTATAACTAGGTTACAATAATTAAGTGCATTAACGCGTCTAGCTAGGTGCTCCCCCCGCTCATCATCCTACCAGGCAAGCTGCACCAGGCTAGCTGGTATCGCAATATCCCTAGCGACTAGACGCTTACAGTGAGCGACAACAGCTGGACTACTAACCAGCTTAGTCTGTCCTAGCTTAAGCACTTTAATAATTAGACTGCGTCGCGTACAACTAGGGCCTACCGCCTGCTTATAGTAGACAGCCACAGCAGCTATGCGACGCCTAAGTTTAACTAATACTATACAGAGAACAAAATTATTAGTCTCTGCATGCTAGCTTATAGCTCCTACCTCCTACAGCCTCTAGATGTTAGCTGCTTCTCCCTGCTTAAGACAGCGTATAAACGCAAGGTTTTTAAGCTAGCGCGTAATTATATCTACTATGTTAATAAGCAAGACTTTCTAAGCATCTATACGCGTATTAGACCTATACTGTTTACAAAGTAGACAATTAAGAGCAGCTTTTAAGCTGCAGGTTTAGTCCTATACTGTCCTAATCACATCTTGTTGTTGCTTACTGTTGTCTGTACGCTGTCTCCACTAGCGCAAGAAGCTCACAGTGAGACGCGCTAGACTGCAGAGACGCCTTATACAGTTGCTTAGCTGCAGCAGCAGGCTTAACTTATCTATAACTGCCTTAGTTGTTAATTGCAGAGCCCTACTAGCTAGGCAATAGCTTAGCTTGTTAAAAAATGTTAAATAGTAATGCACTTAGTAATAATTCTTACAGAGGAGAACACTAAGCTGTGTTAGGCTAACTATTGTTAAGAGCAGAAAAGGCAACAGCAACAGCAGTATATTGCTACAGGAGGGACTCTCACAGGCTAGGAAGGTCAGAGGCTGGCTGCAGAGGCTGATAGGGTGGTCGAGGTAGATGCGCAGGCTCAGGCATCTCAGAGCTATCGCCGAGCACCACCAACCTGCTCAAAATGCCACGTGCAAGGCCATAACAGGACTTAATGTAGAAGCAATTAGGAATCTTTTGTATATATATCTATATAGGTTTAATTTAGTTGCTGTTCAGTTATCTGTCAGAAAGGTGCTCTAGTTTTGGTGGGGCTGGCGGATGACTGATTTTGGCGGATGAGTGATAAAACACGTTATAGGCGAGTTGCTTACACACCTAAGTTGCTTACTTTTACTAAGACCCTACTACACTACTCTTTTTACACTAATGTATTTCTAATAATACTACTTAGACATGTTAAAAGAATATTAGATGCAGCTTATGCTTTAGGCTTTTAAATAAAACGCAACACTTTTTAAGCAACGCGCTGCAGCTATCTATAAAGTCTTTTAAAAGATAATAAGTAACTAACGCGCTAGATAACTTTTTTAAGCTAATTATATAGCTAACTTATAAAAGCTAGATAATAATAAAAAGCAGGTAATTATTTAGCACATACTTAAGCTAGATGTGTAAGGATTTCCCCTCTAGCTAGCAGCTGTAGCTAATATAGCTAATTCTTTACACGCTAAGTATAATATAGGCTATATTAGCATAAACTAGCTTAATATGTTTATTAAGCATTACTTAAAGCTTAAAGTAAAGTTTAAGTGTAAGTATAACTATAAAAGAGCCTTTTATAAAAATTCTATAGTAATTTAAGGCTAGTTTAACTTTATAAAGAATATTAAAGCTAAGTATAGCATTTAGAATAACAACATGTACAACTTTAATAAGATAAAGTTTATAATAGGCTAAATATCTACTAAAGTAGTTGTTATAGGTTTAGAGAGATAAGGATAGCTAAAAGTAGTCTAGCTAGGCAACTAGAAGTAGACAACAGCTATTTAGAGCATTAATGCTAAAAGGTAAGCTATTTTGCTTTTTATTATTTTTTAAAGTAGTAACTACTTTTTAAACTAGTATAAAAAGAAAAATTTACTCTAGAATTAGGTTATTATAATCTTTAAGTGTAGCTAGACTACTAATTAGCTTAGTTTAGACTAGTTAAAGCACTTTAACGCGTATATAAAGAAGTGTACTATTAGCAGCTACTGTCTACTAGTTATTAATAGCTATAAAAGCTATAACTTACTTTATTTCTAGTAATACTATAAAAATAATAAGATTATTACTATTTATATGCCTTTTTACTTATTACACTTTTTATAGCTACTTAATGTAGGTTGTTTTACTTCTTTAAAAAAAGTGTATAAGCGCTAAGCTAAAAACCTTATGTATAACTAGATTACTTATATTATAAAAATAAAGTTTTTACTATGCTTTAAAGCAGCTTATTATGCTATAATTACTTCTAGTAATATCTAAAAAAAGTTCTAAAGCGCTAGATTAGTTTCTTTTAACCTATAATAAGTTATAATAGGCCTTAATGTAAAGTTACGCACTCTATTACTACTACTACTTATATATAATAAGCCCTAGTAGTTGTAAACTCTAAGTAATACTTTAAAACTTAGGTTATAATTAATGCTTATAAAAATAAAAATTTAAAAGTATATAAATAGTTTACTAACTTCTATAGTTAAGGTGTTTAAAAAAGTCTTAAAGAGAGCAGCAATAATTATGTATAAGCTAGTGTTAGTGTAATAAGAAATTACTAAGCTTTAAGTAGCTAATAAAGCTGCTACATAACATAAATTACATAAAATAAAGTAGATTAAAGTAAAAAAGACTTTAATAATTTAGAAAAGCTTATACTTAATAGCTTTAAAGAAGTTTAAAGCGCGCAGTAATAGAAAAAAGGCAAAGAAGTAGGTGTAAGCTAAAGTAGGTAAGCTATCCTAAAGGCGCTGCAGATAGTGTAATTAGACTAGGCATAACACGCAAACATGTAAGCAAGAAGCAGAAGTAGTATCTAAATAATATTCTAGGCTGTACTATACTATATAGTGCTAGAGCGGGTTGTTATAGGCTATAATAGAGTTTGTTAGGGTGGGGTCTTAGCAAAAGTAAGCGACTCAGGTGTGTGAGCAACTCGCCTATAAAGTACGTTATCGCTTTAAAGAAGTTTACCTAGGTATATTTAAAACTATAGTTTAGTACTTATAGGCTAAAAGAAATCTTTTTTTATAGGTAGAAAGACTAATCTAACTAAGATACTTTTTTTAATAGCTACACTAATAAAGCTCGCTTTAAATGTAGAAAACGCTTTCTTTTTATTTATTTTAAAAGTTAAAAATGTTTATTATACCTTAGTTTTTTTTTAACTAGTAATAAAATAAGCTTATAAAAGCTTTATTATATTCTCTACACTTTTAAACTAAAACTAGTCTAATTTAGCTAGGTATTCCAGCTTTAGATAATCCTTTGCAATACTAGCTATATGTTTCTATATTAACACTATATATGCGCGCTTACTCTAATAGTAATCTAAATTAATAATAAGTCTATCTATAATAAAGGCTTACTATTATTTAAACATAAGTGCTTTACTATTTATAAAGATTTTAATCTTAAGTGTATATTTAGTAAGGTAAATTTACTAAGTTTAAAAAGTGCCTAAAAAGTCTCTTACACTTAAAGTAGTAAAAGTAGTATAAGGTGTTATTAAAAATAATTTAGTAGCTAGTAAAGGTTAACTAGTAGTTTTTAGCTAAATTAGCTACTTAAGCTATACTTATAATTAAGTAATCTAATTATTAATAAATATACTACTAAAAGTTAACTTTAAATTAAGTAGAAGTATAGCTTTAAGTGCTGTAAAAGTAAGTTTAGCTATTAACATAGATTATTAATTAACTTTAAAAGACTTGCCTTAGCTAAAATGTATTTTAATTCTAAAATTAAAAGGTAGTTAGTTAGACATTAGTAGTTGTCTTTAATTTTAATAAGTTATTAGTAGTCTTTAAGTTTTTACTTTAGCACACTTTACATTACTTTTTTAAAAGTAATTTTAATTATAAGAGATGAAAACTTCTTAACTTAAAAGCTTTAGTTAATAAAAAGTCTTTAGTATTTTATCTATAAACTAAATAGTTTAATATAACGTACTTTATAGGCAAGTTGCTTACACACCTAAGTTACTTACTTTTACTAAAACTCTACTAAACTACTTTTTTTACACTAATGCATTTCTAATAATACTACTTAAATGTGCTAAAAGAATGTTAGATATAGCTTACACTCTAAGCTTTTAAATAAGATATAAAACTTTTAAAGAAACATGCTGCAGCTATATATAAAGTCTTTTAAAAGATAATAAATGACTATAGCACTAAACAACTTTTACAAGCTAATTCTATAGCTAACTTATAAAGGCTAGGTAATAAAAAGAAGTAAGTAATTATTAAAACTATACTTAAGCTATATGCGCAAGGATTTTCTTTTTAAATAGCATTTATAGCTAATATAGCTAATTCTTTACACACTAAGTATAATCTAGGCTATGTTAGCATAAACTAGCCTAGTATATTTAGAAAGTATTATCTAGACTTTAAAGTAACATTTACGCGTAGTAAAACTATAAAAAAGCTTTTTATAAAAGTTCTAGAGTAATTTAAAGCAGGTTTAGCTTTATAGAGAATATTAAAGCTAAGTATAACATTTAAGATAATAACATGTATAACTTTAGTAAGATAGGCTTTATTATAAGCTAAATATCTATTAACTATACTTATGCTTAAAACTTTACTTTAAGCTTTAAATAACACTTTATAAATGTACTAGGCTAGTTTATGCTAATATAGCCTAGAATATGCTTAGCGCGTAAAGAATTAGCTATATTAGCTATAAATACTAACGTACTTTATAGGCAAGTTGCTTACACACCTAAGTTGCTTACTTTTGCTAGGACCCTACTACACTACTTTTCTTACACTAATGCATTCTTAATAACACTACTTAGATGTGTTAAAAGAACATTAGATATAGCTTACACTCTAAGCTTTTAAATAAAACATAATACTTTTTAAGCAACACGCTATAGCTATTTATAGAGTTTTTTAAAAAAATAATAAGTAACTAACGCACTAGATAACCTTTTTAAGCTAATTATACAGCTAACTTATAAAAGCTAGATAATAATAAAAAGCAGGTAATTATTTAGCACATACTTAAGCTAAATGCGCAAGGATTTCCCCCTTAGCTAGTAGCTGTAGCTAATATAGCTAATTCTTTACACGCTAAGCATAATATAAGCTATATTAGTATAAACTAGCTTAATACATTTATTAAGTATTACTTAAAGCTTAAAGTAAAGTTTAAGTATAACTATAACTATAAAAAAGCTTTTTATAAGAATTTTATAGTAATTTAAAGCTAGTTTAACCTTATAAAGAATATTAAAGCTAAGTATAGCATTTAGAATAATAACATGTACAACTTTAATAAAATAGAGTTTATAATAAGCTAGATATCTACTAGAGTAGTTATTATAAGTTTAAAGAGATAAGGACAGCTAAAAGCAGTTTAGCTAGGTAACTAGAAGTAGACAACAGCTATCTAGGGCATTAATGCTAAAAAGTAGGCTATTTTACTTTTTATTATCTTTTAGAGTAGTAACTACTTTTTAAACTAGTATAAAAAAAATCTACTTTAGAATTAAGTTATTATAATCTTTAAGCATAGCTAGACTACTAATTAGCTTAGTTTAGACTAGTTAAAGCACTTTAACGCGCATATAAAAAAGTGTACTATTGTTAGATATGCGCACCTACTGTCAAGACAGGAGGAACGTTTGACGAAAGCTGCTACATAGTACGAGCAATAAGCTCAAACAGTATGTTGCTGCAAATTGCTGCATTTTGCAGCATTTTGCAGCATGTTGCAAGCTGGTCGCGCAGAGGGCTAGTGCGCGAGGGACTTAGATTAGAAAAACAAAAGCTAAGCAACACAAGTAGAGCAGAAAAAGGATTAAGAAATAAACACTATTAATATAATTAATTAATTATCCTATACATTATATCTAAACCTATTATTTATCTTAGGAAGCCTAGAAACAGTGCTTTAATCTAATAATTAAGAGTCTTAGTGCCTCCATTAA